TCTCACTACTCCCTCTGGAGAAGAGGAGGAACTTCCCAATTTCAGGGAGGATGCACTTCCCCCCGGAGGATTGGATGTTGAGCCAGAGCGTGGCTCTTAGTTGACTGCTTTAAAGAGAGCGCCAGGACTTTTGAAAGTGGGGACTCATGCTCAGTTTAGCTGGGAAAGGACCTGGCCCTAAACAGCTGCAATGAGTAGCAGGTGAAGTCTAAAGTGGAGCCCTTAGGACAGCGTCCCAGAATGGTGTAATCTTAGCCAGGGAACCACATGGGAAGCTCAGACCTTGCATTGCTCTGGCTGAGCTGAGGTTTGAGGGAAAACCTAAGTAAGCACAGAGTCTGACTCCTAGCAATGCATCTAGGTTGAACGAAGGGGACATGCTTTTCTCAATCCTATCTGCGTTGCCCTTGGTGTTCAGGAACAAAATTCTGAGTTGTGTGGTGTCTGGGGTGGGGGTAGGGGCCAGGGTGGCGGTGGGCGCAGTGAGCATGAGTGTGCCATGAAGGTTTCGTGGAAGAAGATGTCCCTCAGCTTTTGAAGAATGGGTAGGATGTCAGTATGCACGAAGAAGGAGGATTTTCCAATCATAGGGCATTTTTAAGGAGAAGAGAGGGAATTGTTAGGGGATGTCCTTGAGAGTAAGGATTGTCTTTTGCCTTTCTTTGTGTCCCTAGAACTTAGCATAGTGCTTGGCACAAAGATGTCACTTAATATGTGTTTGTTGACTGAATTCGGTTTGTGAAGGGGTATTACAGTAAGGTTGTAGATTGGAACCACGTGGGTATGGTCTGTCCTTACTTAGCTATGGAGTACCAGGAATGGCTTTTGAGAAGAGAAATAATGGGATTAAGCCTGTGCTTGGAAGGGGTCCCAGAGACTTCTATCCATTCTAAATTGAAACTCCTTTACCATATTCCTGAAAAGAGATCCTTCAGCTTCTTCTTGAAGATGACTACTGGCAGAGAACTCACTGCTGTGTCCTAAATTAGCCCATTCCATTTCTGAATAACTCTAATTGTACACTAGATTCAGTTTTTCTGTAGCTTTCACCTATTTGCCTTAGTTTTGACTTTGTGTGGCTAAGTAAAGCAAATTAATCTGCTATATGACAGCTCTTAAGATAGTTGAATATAATGATCATAGAGTTCATGAATTTTCTCTCAGCAAATATCTCCAGTTTCCTTATTAATCCTCATATGGCATTGATTTGAGCCCCATTACCTTTTTGACTGATAAGCTAATACATGCACATTCAGAATGGCAATGCATTCTTAAGATGTGTCAGGTGGTCTGATTTGACCAGCTTTTAGCTCATAGTAGTCAACTGATAAATCCTTGTTGATTAGCTACAGTGGGTCTATTGCTTTCCTGGTTCTGGAACCTAATGTAGCTCTCCCAAACCCCCAGGTTTTTTCCCTTCAGATCATCAGGAGTTAAGTCAACAAGCATTTATTAAGCACTTCCTGTGTGCTAGGCACTGTGCTAAGTGCTTAAATCATAGGAATATTCTTCTGAAATAGCATTTCCCCAGAGCTTCTGCTTGTGGTAATGGAGATCTGACTTGCTTTGATGTGTGGGTAGTATTCTCAAACATCAGGTTTTGCCTTGTTGCCCTCTGATCCAACTTTACCAGTGATGTTAAAACTTGGGTGGTTCTCTTTATCGCCTTCTCTTCTGAAAGGTGAAATTCTCAATGCACATCAAGAATTTGAGATGTTTGGTTTAACAGACATTGAGGGTGGCAACCCAAACTTTGCACAATGCATAGTAGTTGCAATGACTCTCTTTGATCATTAATGTCAGGAACATATGTGCTTACTACAGGTGTTCAACATGGTCCGGGAAGAGATCCAATTGCAGATAGATTTCACATCAAAGGAGGGTTTCCTAGAGATGATGAGATCCAGATGCTCTTGTTTGCTGATGATGTTGTGCTGGTTGCATTAAGCTTCTGAACATTGCAGACATTTATTCCCCTGATTGAGATCCATCGTAACTCAAAAAAAAAAACTTGGCCTAATCATGAACACAGGAACAATCAAATGGATGAAGAATGCTTATTGCCCAGAATATGATAATGGGACAAACTGTAGAACTATTCATCAGTTTACAGATCTTGAACAAAAATGGGGAACAGACACTGAGTTGCCTGGAAATAAATAGTATAAGAATGGACTAGAATGTCTTTGAAAAATAAGTTCTTTGAATGACCCAAAATTCCCCCTGAAACCAAGGCCTGTCTTTCTAATATTTACCAATCTTCTCCCAGAGTTTTTATTGGTTGTGGGTCATGGTACACTAGTCTCTGAAGAAGTGAAAATTATTATCATTACTGTATGAGGAAAATGGAGAGATCTATGGTACATATGAGTAGGCTACATCATACCAGAAATAGGAAATTATAGGCCTTAAGACAGACCTTTTCTTCTTCACCTTAGCCACCCAAAAAAGGCAAATCTGAAAATATTTCTTAATATTTTAGAGAAACTGGAAAGGAGGTTTGTAATATGCTTCCAGAGTTCGTTCTTGGATCATATTCTTCCTTACTTTCAGTTTTATTAATCTCTCCTTTGATTTTCAGGATTTCCAATTTGGTGTTTAATTGGAGATTTTTAAATTTTCCAGTTTTTTTCTAGGTTTTTGTTTTGGTCAGTTGCATGCCCAATTCATTGATCTGTTCTTTCTCTATTTTACTGATATAAGCATTTAGAGATACATATTTGCCCCCGAGTACTGCTTTTGCTGCATCCTACAAATTTTGGCATGTTGTCTCATTGTTACCATTTTCTTTAATGAAACTATCGATTGTTTCTATGATTAGTTCTTTGACCCACTTGTTTTTTAAGATTAGATTATTTAGTTTCCAATCAATTTTTAATCTCTATTTCTATTGCCTATTATTGAATGCACTTTTTATTGAATTATGATCTGAAAAGGATACAATTAGTAGAACGTGTTCTTCCAAGCTCAGCACACTGGTTTTTTTTTGTCATATTCTCATCTCATCCCTCCCCCTCTTCTGCTGCCCTGAAAGTAATCTGGTAGCAGTGTGTAAGGTAGATTTGGAGTAGGGAGATTTGTTATGAAGCTGTTGTAATAATCCAAGTAAGAGGGCCTTAACTGTCAGAATGAAAAGGAAAGCACAGACATAGGAAATATTTTAGAGTTCAAATTAACAGGGTATGGTGGTTGGTTGGTTGGATGTAGGGAGCAAGGAAGGGAGTGGAAATTCACATTTGTATAGGGGCCTAAAATTTTAGTGCAGTTTTAAGCTTCTGTCAGTTTAAAACTGTACTAAGACTTTTGGGACACCCTATATATTGTATGGTAGTATGCAAACCACACGATCTTTCTCTCTTAGGTGACTGAGAGTGGGGAAGTCAGGAGAAAGAGGCAGATTTTAGAGTAAGATGATGTTAGGTTTTAGGTGCATTGATTTTTGAATGCTTGTGGGATATGCCACATGAAGAAATGGCAAATTTAGGTACTCATTCTCTCTTACCTGGGTAACTATCTCCTGAGAATGTTGTAGATGGAATTAATCCTTCAGATAGAAGGGAGTTCCTTCTGTTGCAGTCTGAGAGGTTGAGACCCAGTGACTGGAGTATAGGATGGGGTAGTACGGAATGAATTCACAGACTGAAGCATTCTTTGAGTCAAGGTGGCAAAGATTTATTGTGACTCTATCCAGTGGGCAGAGGTCCTTAAGGAATTCTGCATGGTGGACAGAGCTCCTTAGGGAACTTACAAGCAAACAGGAATGACGCTAAAGTTTATTTAGGAAAAGCAGTAGATTATGTGCCAAGTATGCTAATTAAGTGATAACATACAAGTATGTCATTCACTACTGGAAACTTTGGGGAGGGGGGCAGAGAGGGTTCCTAAAGGATATATTTTTGATCTGTTATGTCTGTAACAAGATCGTTTCAGGAATTGAAGTCTGTAGTTTGACCTCTGGATTGTGTATGGTAACTGTGGACATCAGTACTTGATAGTTCTGCTGGTACAAGAGAGTCCTGTTCATACAAGGGAAATTCTACTGAGGTCAGCTTGTCCTTGTAACAGGGAGAGATAGTTTGCCTCACTGGGCCCACTGATGAGTTATTGCTGAAGATAGGGTACTTGGGCTAGAGGGAAACTGTCAGGGGTAGTGCCTTGAGGTCAGGGAGAAATTGAGGTCCAAGCACTCCATCATTCCCCCCTTAAACAATATTTTGGTGTTTATGGGACCTTTATTTCTGTCTTTGACTTCTTTGGGATATATGTATAGTGGTGAGTTCTCTGGGTCAAAGGGTATGAACATTGCTTTCTTTCTTTCTTTTTTTTAAACACAATTCCAAATTGCTTTCCAGAACTGTTGGACCAAATCGCAGCTCCAATACCAGCAAAGACACCAACAGTGTATTGAAGTACCTGTTTTTTTCATATTTCCAACTTTTGTCATCTTTGCCCAATTTGCTGGGTATAAAATGAATCCTCAGAATTGTCTTCATGTGCATGTCTCTTCTTAGTGATTTGGAACAATCTTTCAAGTGGCTGTTAGTATTTGTGCTTCTTTTGAGAACTGTTGGTTCATATCCTTTGACCACTTAATCTGTTTAGGCCTATAACATGGTCTTATATATTTGGGTTATTTCATGGGTAAGTCATACACTTTCTCTAAGCCTCAGTTTCCTCATCTATAAAATGAGGAAAATAGTGTCTGCCATACTTTACTTCATGGGGTCATTGTGAGGCTCTAATGAGAAATTTGCATATAAGGTGCTTTGCAACTTTAAAGACCTCTCAGTGTTAGCTATTATTTTGGATAAAGGGGAGTTTGTAATAAGGGCATTTCCTTTTCCTCTTTTATCAAATCATTGACATTGTGGGAACATCTTGGGAGCTAAATTGTAGATGGAGAAATAAATTATCCCTGTAATAAGAATGCCTTGATTCCTATGAGTGGATGTGATACACTGGTCAATCTGGCAAGTCTTTTTTTTTTTTTTGCTGCTTAGTGAAGTCTTGGTGGAGGACTCAACAGCCTGTTTCTATAAAGCTTTGGGCCAACTCCAAGAAATCTGGGACTCAATCGGGATTCCAGAGGATCACAGGCTTCAATGTGTCCAAGTGAGTGGAGCTGTGACCTCCCTTGTGGCCTCAGGGCTTTGTCTTCACATATGCTGACACTGGATGTATACCGCCAATCTGACTTCTGTGAAGGTGTTAGTGTCGACATCATAGGCTTTGTCTGTTGTAAGGATCCTCTATTCTTGAAATACTATTAATTTTTTTTTTTTTTTTTCAAACCTCTAACCACTCTTTAGTATTCTATGGACTGATTCTCTTTTGCTGTAGAGCCTCCTGGATATGATGATTGCAGAGGAAAAAAGCCTGAAGGAAAGGCTCCTAAAAAGAATTGATTCTTATCGAAAAGAGCAGGACACTCTGATCAAAGAGTTAAAATTGGAACCATTTCTGGTAAGTCTTTTTTTTTTTTGGCAAGGCATTAGGGGTTAAGTGACTTGCCCAGGGTCACACAGCTAGTAAGTGTCAAGTGTCTAAGGCCGGATTTGAAATCAGGTCCTCCTGAATCCAGGGCCGGTGCTCTATCCACTGTACTACCTAGCTACCCCATAAGTCTTATACTAAATACAGTCTCTAAGGATTTAGTTATCAATGGTTGATGCTGAGGATCAAGACCAGGCCATCCCTAAACCTAAACCTGTAGCTCTGCCTGACTTTCTGAACTTCAGATCCACTTTTCCATCTGCTCGCTTGATACAGCCATTTTAGATATCCAGCTGTTACCTCAAATTCAGTATGTGAAAACTGAACTCTTCCCTCCTTACCTTATTCCTCTTCATCTCTTTTAACAGTACCACCATCCTCTCTCTCTTGCTCAACTTCAAAACCTTGGCTGCCTTTCCTTATTCTCTTGCTCCTCACAGCTAATCATGTCACAAAGCAGTTTTATGATCTCTTCCATGTACTCCATCCTTCCTATGTACCTCCATCATGCTGGTTCAGGGTCTGGACTTATTGCAATTCTCTCAGTTTCCAGCACTCGCATTTTCTAATCAACACTACATACCATTTTTAGTCCTCTTCCCAAAGCGTAGCTCTAAACATGTCACTCTCCTGTTTAACATTTTTTTTCAACCTTTACCTAAAGTCCAAATTCATTAGTGTGGTGTTCAAAGCTTTCAGCTGATATGGCCCTAATCTACCTTTCCAGTCTTATATCTTACCATTCCCCTTCATGCACCTTATGTCTCAGTCAAATTAGTCATTTGCCCCTGTGTATGTCCTCTTCTTTCCCAGCTCTGTTTCTTTGCTCAGGCTGCTTTTCCATCCATAATGTCCTTCTGTCTGTCTACCTTTCCCTCCTCTCCTTGAAATCCTATCATTCAAATGCGATCTTCTAGACAACTTTTCCTGATTTTTGTCTCTCTCTCTCTCTCTCTCTCTTTTTGTTCCTATATCATTTGGTTTGAACTTAGTTTGCAACTAAGACAAGATGTAATAAATGCTATTTATGAAAATGCCTTATCTTTCCTACTTGATTAGAAGCTATGGAAGGGACCTTTGTATCTCTCTAGGGAGGCCTACTGCAGAGGATTGCAGTTGAATAAATGCATGTTGAGGTGAAAGACAGAGTGGGAAGAGCTCCTTGTGGAAGCTGATTCTTCAGCTTGTTGGGAAACAGATGTGATGTGTGATGCCTCCCTCTGATGTGACAGAGAACTAGAAAAAAGTCTGCCTCATAAAGTTTTTTTTTTTTATGGTTCATGATATGCTGAAACCTCCAATTGGGAGTGAAGTGGGACAGGGATAATTGTCAGAGAACTAAAACAGTTACATGTTTATACTGTGAAGATACTATAATGTATATAATATGAATATACTATCGTAATACAAACATATAAATAATACAAATATTATAATAACACAAATAAATTAGATGAAACTAGGCCCCTGCCTAACCTCAAACCTAAAACCTCAACTTTAGAATCTGAGGGTTTGCTGTATCAGGTTCCAAGGCAGGCCAGATCAGGTCAAGAACTATATTAGTTGGCTGAAGAACACAACAAAGACCAGTACTAGTAGATAAAAAGTTAACATTTTTTTTGGTGAGGTCTAGTCATGTGATTTCATTGGTTTAGGAAACAACCAATGAGGAAACTCCTGGTGACAGAATGGTTGTTCTATGGTGTTCTAAGGACACAAGTGACTTGCCCAGGTCACATAGTTATTAAGTGTTTAAGATAGGATTTGAACTCAGATCTTTTTGATTTTTTTAAGTCCATTACTCTGTCCACTAGGAAGGAGGGAAATAAGCTTTTATTTGCCTGCTATGGACTACTATGTCCCAGGCACTGTGCTAAGTGCTTTACTAATATCACTTTTGATCGTCTCAAGAACCTTGGGAGGGGGGTGCTATTATTATCCACATTTTACAGTTGAGGAAAACGAGGCAGACAGAGATTCAGTAACTTGCACAGAAAAACACAGCCAGTGTCTGAGGCTGAATTTGAACTTTGGTCTTCCTGACTTTAGGCCCAACTCTGTGTCGTGCTGCCTCTCTAAATTAGAATTCAAACATAAAATTAAAATGGGATGAAGCTAGAATAATAAATAGAACAGATTAAATAATACTTAGGGATAAAAGAAGTCTGATAATATATTTGAAATGCTCTCTCTGCTCTTCACTAGGAGGAACTAAGTAATGTCAGGGTACATAGGTGAGATGAACCTGGAAGTTTAGCATCAAATCCTATTATTGCCTGACCTAGAGGCAATTGTTTCCCTTGTTTTCTTAAGTGGTAGAAGTGGTATAATTGTGGAAAAGACTGGCTCTGATTGTATGGGCATTGGAGTCTATTATCCCTGTCAGCTGTCATCTGACATCACTCCTTCCCTTCTCAGCTAAACCTGAAAAAGCCGTCTACAGAGTACAGTACCTGGACTTGCCCTTCTAAACCCTATCCATTCTCACTCCTGACCTCATTCAGCTGAAACTACTCTGTCTAAAGTTACCAATGACCTCCTAATTGCCAAATCTAACAGCCTTTTCTCTATCCTCATCCTTCTTGACATCTCTGCAGCCTTTGACATTGTCAGTCACCTCCTGGATATTCCTTCCTCTCTGGATTTTCCTGACAGTAAGAATTTTCTCTCATCTGTCTGGCTGTTCCTTCACACTCTGCTGAGCCTTTATTCATGTCCTACCTATTAATTGGTTGTCCTCCAAGGATCTGTCCTAGGCTCCCTTATCTTTTCTCTCTACACTCTCTCACTTGGTCATCTCAGCAGCTCCAATGAGTTCAATTACCATCCATCCTGATGGTTCTACAATCTAATTCTGTACCTTTAACATCTCTCTCGATCTCTCCAGTCTTCATCTTCATCGATAATCATCTGCGTATTGGGCATCTTGAATTCAACATATGCAAAACAGAGCTCTTCATCTTTCTCTCCAAATGCATCCCTCTTCCAGACTTCTCTACTGTTGTCAAGAGCAACAATATTCCCCCAGTCACCGACTCTTGCAACTTTGGTGTCATCCTTGACTCCTCACTCTCACTCACCTTACGTATCCAATCAGTTGCCAAATTTTATCACTTCTATTTCCACAATATCTCTTATATATGACCCCATCATCCCCCATTGCACTTACACAGCCACCTTCCTAGTTTAAGCCCCATCACTTTTTACCCAGAAAACTGAAATAGACTTCTTTAAAAATTTTTTAAATTAATTTTCATTTTCAACGTTGACTTCCATAAGATTTTGAGTTCTAAATTTCCTCCCCCTCCCTCCTGCCCAATATGGCATGCAATCTGATATAGGCTCTAACATATACATTCATATTGAACATATTTTCACATTAGTCATGTTGTAAAGAAGAATTAGAACCAATCTCATGGAAGAACCACAAGAAAGAAGAAATAACCAAAAAAAGAGAGCAAATAGTACTGCTTTGATCTTCATTCAGACTCCATAGTTCCTTCTCTGGATGTAGACAGACAGCATTTTCCATCATGAGTCTTTTGGAGTTGTCTTAGATCCTTGCGTTGCTGAGAAGAACTAAGTCTGTCAAAGTTAGTCACTGCACAATGTTGTTGTTACTGTGTACATTGTTCTCCTGGTTCTGCTCACTTCACTCAGCATCACTTCATGTAATTCTTTCCAGGTTTTTCTGAAATCCACTTGTTCATTATTTTTTTTTTATGGATCAGTGGTGTTCCATTACATTCATATACCACAACTTGTTCAGCCATTCCCCAATTGATTGGCATCCCCTCAATTTCCAATTCTTGGCCAACACAAAAAGAGCCGCTATAAATATTTTTGTACATGTGGGTCGTTTCCCCATTTGTATGATCTCTTTGGGATGCAGCCCTAGAAGTGGTATTGTTGGCTCAAAGGGTATGTATGTTTTTGTAGCCCTTTGGCATAGTTCCAAATTGCTCTTCAGAATGGTTGGATCAGTTTACAACTCCACCAACAAGGCATTACTGTTCCAGTTTTCCCATATTTTCTCCAACATTTATACTTTCCCTGTTTTGTCATGTTGGCCAATCTGATAGGTGAAAGGTGGTAACTCAGAGTTCCAATAGCCTTTTAGTTGGTCTTCCTTCCTCAAGTCTCTTCCTGTTCCAATCCATCCTCCACACAGCTGCCAAAGCACTTTTCCTAAAGCATAGGTCTGAACCCCTCCCCTACTCAGTAAATTCCAGTGGCTCCCTGTTAGCTCTGGGATCACATATAAGCTGCTCTTTTTGGTATTTAAAGCTCTCCATAACCTGGCCCTTTCCTACCTTTTAAGCCCCCTGTACACATCCTTTGGTCTAGACATACCGGCTTCCTTGCTGTTCGTAACATGTTGTGCCCCAGCTCCTTTGCACCTGGCTGTACCCCATGTCTAGAATGCTCTCCCTCCTCACCTTTACCTTCAAGACTCGGCTCTAACACTACCATTCTTGGCTAGACCTTCCTCAGACAACTCCCCTGGTGGTTTATGTTTAATAGTGGAACAAAAGGAGACAATCATATATCATTTGACAGTTAACAAATGAAGATTTACTTAGTCATAGCAAGAGAAGGATATTCAATAGGGATGGGCATTGAAGATGCCTCAAATTGATTCAAATTGAGAGAAGCTCTCTTGCCTGAGTCATCCTTCATGTTCTACCAAACATCAGAGCTCCCATAACTCCTAGCAGTTAATTTGTAAACAGGTGACCAAGATTCTAAGTAGGCAGGTGGCTCAGTGGATAAGGTACTGGGCCTTGAGTCAAGAAGGCTGGAGTTCAAATCTGGCCTCAGACACTCACTAGCTGTGTGACTGTGGGCAACTCACTTAGCCTCTGCTTACCTCAGTTCCTCATCTATAAAATGATTTCAAGAAGGAAATGGCAAACCATATCAGTATCTTTGGTAAGAAAACCCCATATGGGGTCACAAAGAGTTGGATG